AAAATAATAATTAAAGGCAATATATTAAATACTAAACTATTCTTTTGTAAACAAAACTACTAAATGTATTTAATTAAAATCAGCTTTTTCTCTGATAACATTATCTGAATTTTTTAGCCATTTCTCAAATGTACGAATTTCATTGTCAATGATTCTTTGTCTAAACTCAAGTCTCATATCGGGAATACTTGTTTTACTTGAATCATTTCCAGCAATTCCAGGTAATTTATAATCCTTCCCAATCCATTTTTCCTTATATTCTTGCGGAAATGATGAAATAATAACAGAATTTCTGGCAATCTCAGCCAAATCAGTTTGTGTTAATTGGAAATTTTTCATTGCAGATGAATATTCTTCAGTTAAAGGCTCTTTTGTAATATGAGTATGTAGCGGTGTGTCTGTACTTAAACATATCCTCATTCCTCGTTCAAACATTTTTCTAAATGGATCAACTACCCCTCCGTATAGTGCTGCTTGTTGAATTGGGGAAGATGATATTCCTATTTGAGCTAAAATATAAAGGTATTGTAGTGTATTTTGTCCATCAATCATAACTCCATGAGTAATAGAATTTGCAGTTAAAAATGCAGCTGCTCCATGCATTCTATCACCTGCTTGTCCACAGTGCGGTCTAAAATCAAAAGTGTTCAATTTTTTTTCTTTTCTAAATCCATTAAGAACAGTTATATTAGCATATAAATAATACAAATAATATTCATAAGGTGGATTTTCATCCATATTCCATTCATCAGGTGTTATAATATTTCTTGGATCAATTTCTTCTTCATGTAAAAGTTCTTCACTTGCACAATCAAATGCACCACAATTAGATAAAAATTTAGCAAGATTAGGATGTTGTTCTGGATGTAATGTTGCTTCAAAACAAGGTTTAAATATATTTCTTAGAAACTCAGAGAAGTTATTAATATAACCTTCTTCTTTCCATCTAGAATAAATACGTGGAATACAAATAACATAAGAATTATTATCAGGCTCTATTAACCCATATTCAACAATTTGATTTGCCCATTTTTCCATTTCATTTAATTCCATTCCACTACAATTAAATCGATATTCAGTTTTAATAGTTTCTAATACTTTTAATCGTTCAAATACAGTACTTTTTAATAATTCACATAAATACTCTCCATGAATATCATTATTAATTGTAAGGAATAATTCTTTTAATTTTAATTGACCAAATGGATAATATTTATTTAGCCATAAATCAAATCTAGAAATAAGTGATGGATCTGCTTGAACATTTAATGAATGAATATTAAATTGTTTAATATCTAATAAATCAAATAGGTGTTGTAATGTTATATCATAATATATTTTACCATTTAATTCTAATTCTTTTCTAACTATTCTTGTAGGTTCTTTTTCTAATTTCCTTTGAATAATTTCAAGTAAATCAGTTGGATGAAATGATCTATTAGCATGGACATGAGTATCTACTTTAGTAATTTGTTCAAAATCTGTTTTTAATGCTGTTTGTTCCATGTCTTCACTTTTTTCATTAAGTAAATGATACAATTGAAATAATTCAGACCGGACATGCATTTGTCTAAAACAAAACGTTCTTGCTGGACCACTTTGACAAAATTTTTTTAATGCTTTATAATCCCAAAAGAATTGTTCATCATCAATAATATCAAATGTAGGTTTACAATTTAATTGAAGTAATGAATGATAAATTCCTTTATGTGTTTTTTTATAACATTTAATACAAAATCTTTTACCACATTCTTGACAATAAATCTCTGCTAAATGATAATGATCATTTTCACATATAGCTTCTTCATTATATACATTAAATATTCCTTGATTTAAGGCAATAACTTCTGTTGTTTGTGCATTAGGATGAAAGAAACTATTTCTTGTTGTTCTTAATTTAGCACAGTAAGTAAGATATTTCTCTCTAACATCTAACCAAAACTCTAATTTTCTAATAACATCAATCTCTTCTTCCATTCCATTTTCTGGATAAACAACATCAATAATTGAATATGGAATATTAGCAAAAATATGTGATTCTTTCATTTTCTTTTCATCACTTAAAATTTCAATATAATCTCTTTCTAACTTTAAAGAAGTATCTCTATAATTCTTTCTAATAAGTGTTAATCTTGTTTTATTAGAATTTTTTTCACTAAAATTATGATAATTTTCTCCTAACATAGATTCTTTCTCTTCTTCTGTAAATCCTGATTGTAATACACTATTATATGCTATTTCAGCCATATCTCCAGTGATATAATTCCATGTTTGTTGTGCAATAGCATATTCTTCCATTAATGGTGTTTGTGTTCTATGAAATTGTAATGGATCATCAGATGATAATGACACATTTAATCCTCTCATAAAGAAATCATTAAATGGACTCTTTCCATATTCAAGAAACAAATTATGATTACTTAATGGAGATACAGCTAATCCAATCTGACTTAAATAATAAAGATATTGTAATGCAGGTGATGCTTCTAATCTAATTCCATGATTAATTCCTTTAGCAGTAAGATATGCTGCAGCTAAATGATGGATATGACCTGATTCCCCACAATGAGGTCTAAAATCAAAAGTATTCATTCCACGTTGTTTTCTATAATAATTTAATGATGCAATATTTGCATAAGTATAATACATATAATAAAAATATGGTGGATTTTCTTTACTCTTCCATTCATTTGCACTTGGTAAGTTACCAACTGTTTGTTCTAATGCACTTTCATCATCAACTGAATCAAAACCAGATACTGTACTAAGAAATTCTGCTAATTGTGGATATTTCTCTGGATATAAAGATGCATCAAATAATGGTTTAAATAAGTTATTCATATATGTTTCAAATGTATATTCTTCTTTATCTCCTTTACACACATGGAAGATTCTTGGAAATTGAATCATCCATTTATTTTGTGGATGTCTAAGATCCCACCTATCGATCCATTCAGCTAATTTTTCCCATTCATCTAATGATCTTCCATAAATACTTAGTCTAAGTTCTAAATGTGTTGGTGTACCATTTAATATATCAAAAACATTATGAATTAATTCAGCAAAATATTTTCCATGCATATAATTTTCTGATTTTAAAAATACTGTTCTTAATAAATCTTCTCCTGCAATTTTATATGAAGCATTAAATACATCAAATCTATTAAAAAATTCAATACCTGCACGTACTCCTAATTGGTTTAATGTAAATTCTTCTAAATTAACTCCTAATCTTTTACACATATGTTCTAATGTTTCTAATTCTTTTTCACCTGAGTCTGTTGTATAATATCCAACAAATTCTGATTTACTTGATTTATTTTTTTCTTTAAGAAATTTTAATAATTGTGATTCAGTCATACATGCAGCAGCATGAATATGAGTATCAATTTTAGATATTGTATGAATGTCTTCAACGGATGTTTGACTTTTAGATTTTTGAGAATTTAATAAACAATGTAATCTAAATTTTCTTGACAATTCATTTAGTCGTTGCTCTGCAAAGTTTTTAACACTATTACTTTCACATAAATTTAATAAAGTTTTATAATCTAATAAATATTGTTTATATTCAACAATTGACATAATCGCTTCATTATTTTGAATTATCTGAAATACTCCATCATTCATTTTTAATAAAGAATGATTATCGTTATTAACTTGATTAGAAAGATGATGGTGAGGTGGATAAACTTCACTTCCATCACTAAATTTTAAATATTTCTTTCTCAATAATATTGCTTGTTGAATACTTTTTGCAGCAATTCTATCTTCTTTACTAATTGAAGAATATGCACGAGTAATAGTGAAATAAACATAATCATTGAAGAATGTTGAATCAATACTACTATTCATCTTTTATTTTTACTAAGTTCTTTTTTTCTTTTTTTTTTCGTTTCTGGACTGTAACTATATTATCATTGTTTTTTATTTTACCCATTTATTCCTTGTCATTCTATCTTTTTTCTTATCTTCTCTTTTCATTTTTTTGCAACCAAAAAAAAACTTTTTGTATTATTCTTAAAATAAAAGAAAAACTGCTTGTTTAAATTTTTAAGGTATTTTGAAAAGACAAAAAGAACAAACCCTTCAACTAAAAAACTGAAAAACATAATTTTAAGAAAAAAAGAACTATCTATGGTAATAGTAGTGATGAATCCCGAGAAAATACGATTTAATAATGGAAAAAAAAAGAAAAAGAATGATGAAACTGAAATAAGTATATCTTGAGATGAAAAGAAGAACAAGATCAGAAAGAAAAGCTCCAGAAAGACTTCCTACAGGCCAAATTGGAGGAATAGAAAGATATCATGGTCCAGGAATAGTTCTTGGTACAAGTAAAATTATAAGTGACGCAATTAGTGGAGCATCTAATGAAATACTTGTACTTATTCATCGACTAATGTACCAACGACAAGGAAGTCAAAAAGAACGATTAAATAATATTTTAAGTTTTTGTGGATTTGAAAATGATGATCAAGTAGAAAAATGTAAAGTTGCATTATTAAAAAGAAATGATGAAGAAGTAAAAACATTAGCAGAATTATTTAAGCTTGAAGATACACAAAGAGATGAAATAATAGATGGATTAGCTGAATTTTTGAAAGAACCAAAAAGACCAAGAGAAGATGTTGTTATTGAATTTATTGATGAAGAACAAAATGAATTAGAAGAACGTGAAAAGGAAGAAAAAGAGTTAGAACTTGAAATGGAGGAAGAAGATGATGATCAAGAAGTGTATGATGAGAATGAAGCTGATGCTCTTGAAGAAGATGAGGATATTTTTGAAGATTCTGAATTAGAAAATGAGCATGAAAGTGAGAGTGAAGAAGAGGAAGAAGAGGAGGAGGAAGAAGATGCTGATTTAGATAATGTTTTTGATGAAATTGAAGAAAAGAAGCCTAGAACAAAAAAAACTGAAAGTAAAGATAATAAAAAGAAGAAGAATGCAAAAAAAGATAAAAATTGATTATTTTAAAATCATGTTTTTCATTTAAATGTTATTTTGAATGATGATGAGTATGATGAAAAGGTTTTTCTTTTAACAATACATATTCACGGATTGAATGACCAAACATTAATACGTCTCCATTTCTTAATTCTATATAAACGTTTTCTTTAATTCTATTCTTATTTAAATATACTCCTTCTTTAGAATTTAAGTCAATGATATAAGGAAGAATTTCATTGTTATGATATCTAAATTGAACGACTGCATGTTGAGGTTCATTTGTAGGATGACGTAACACAATATCCACATTTTCTTTATCAGTTCCAAAGATATAAAAACTTCTATTGTTCATCACAAAAGGATGTTCTATTTCTTCGTCACCTTTGAAACAATAAAACCTCCATGACTCTGTTGGAAGTTTAGCATCATTTGGTTCAATATAATTAATTTTTCTTCCATCTTTTGTTTTAATTCCTTTATATAGATTTCCAGATGGTTTATAATCATCAATATTAATTTTCGGTTTTTTTGGACGTCTTTGTTCAAGTTCTTCTTGTGTATATTCTCTATTAAGAGGTTTTTTCTTTTGCATTTCTGTCTTTTTATTTTTAAGTTTTTTCTTGTAGAAAATCATTTCAATAAAAAGTTATTTTTCTTATTTCTTCAAAATTTCATTGTAATCTCAATAACAATAAGTTCTACTATGGAAGATACAACTACCAAAATGAAAAGACAACTCCTACTTAAGGAAATAGAATTAGAAAAATCAAAAATCGAACGATTAAAAAAAGAAATTGAATTACAAAAGTTATTAAATGAAACTAAAAAGATGGATATGAGGGAAGAGTTATTTCAAACATTTATTCAGAAAAAATCTAATATTGAAAATGAATTGAAACAAAAACAAGAAGAAGGAAAAGAATATATAAAACAAAGAAATATGAAAGTTGAAGACATAATTAATATCCTTCAAACAGAAATGAATGATACTCAAACAAAAAATATTTTATCAGCCACTATTGGTTATGAACTTTCAGATGAACTTATTAAAATACTTCAGGAAAAAGTTCACTTGAAACATACCCAATTATTATTTTCAAGTAATACTGATGACTTTACCAGTTACTCTTTTAATAACAAAATTATGAACAAATCAAATGTTATGATATTTATTAAAACTGAAAATAACTCATTGATTGGGAGTTTTACTTCAACAACCATTCCTCCACCAAGTCAAAATGATAGGGTGATAGTTACTGATCAATCTCATTTTATTTTTATAATCACACAAAATGGATTAAATACTTTTTCATTAAAAAAAAATTGGATGTGTTCATTATGTATCTGTCCAAATACAGGTGATGATGTTGTTGTAATAAATTCTTTTTTCTTAATAAAGAAATCAAGAGAATTGTGGATCCCATCAGAACCATTTAAGGAAAATTATTCATCTACACTTGATCTTGTTACGTTGCTCAATACAAACGCTGATGGCTATTCAACAATAAAATCATTAACTGCAATTGAATGGTTTTAAATAATTAACTCAAAATTATACACCAAATCATTGAATTATCTTATTACAACATTTTTATTATAGTTTGAAATTCACATCAGTTTACTTATGATTAGATGAAACGATGACACTAGAGGTGTTGGTTTCTCTTGGGGCTCTAAAGATAAAAACTTCATTACCTTCTTCATTACCCCAATCATTGCAATAATCACAATCTAAAGCTAATATTCTAGAATCCATTCCATCAAAAAATCGTCTTGTTACAAGAATGGCGAATTGGTCTAGAGTTTTAATTTCTTCCTCTGTAATAGTTTCATCAACTTCAATAATAACCCTCTCAAAATTTTTAAATCGAATTAATCCATATAACTTTTTATAATCTTTACAGTGATTAATTCTTAATAAACTTAATGGTTGAAGTGCATTTGGGAATAATTGATCAACTTTTAATGGTTCATTATTCAGATCTATATGACATTTTCTTAAATTTGGAAATCTACTGAAATTAATGTCATCATAATAACAAATAGTCACATTAATTTCAACTATTTTTTCACCTATTTCTTCAATTAAATCATCAGAAGTAAGAATACCATGAAGAATAATTTCAGAAACTGACTCGAGTTGTTCATCATACCTATTTAAACAATTTCCTTCCCAATCAAATTGTTCTATATCTTCTGCGTTAACAGCAACTCTTTTGCATCTCTTAAACAACTGAACAACTCTTTTTAATGAAATATCTTTTCTACATATAACTTCTCCTTCCCACTCTTCCTCAGAGAATTCATCAGATTGTTTAGACTCACAGAAAGGAGTTACATCTTCAACTAGAAAACATTGTTTTTTCCATCGTTTAGATACTTGGATTAATTTAATAACTTCTGAAATTGTCCTCATCTGACAGATGATGGCTTGTAAGTAAGACTCATCCAATGACATCATCTGACTATTCAGTTCATCTTATTAATATTATTTATCTATTTTCTTCTTTATTATTCCTCTCTTTTTTTGTTTCTCTTCATTTCAAATAATAAGTATTACCTCATAAAAATAACTTTCTTTTTTTTTATTTTCTTGATCTTCTAATTGATTATTGAGTTTTATCATAAAAAAAAACAAAATTTCCATTCTTATCATACTTCATATTTTTTGATTTTTTTGTGAGTTTCAGTGCATCTTTTCTTGAATCGTTTCAAAAATAGAAATATAAAAAACAGAAAAAATTATGTTATTTTTTTGGAATTAATTTGGCATGATTTCGTTTCAGTGATTTACGGTGATTTATTTTTTAGGGAAAGGTTAAAATGAACTTGAAAATAGTTACCACCTTATAACATAAGACTATGTCTGTTCAACACACACAAACATCAATGCATCATGTCCACAAAGAAGGGGAATTAATTTATATTGAACCAAAAAGTAATCTTTACCATAACCGTGAAGGAAAAGACTCTTTTGCAACTTATACATCAAAAACATCTTGGGAGTTGTTTGAACGCCGTTGTCATGAGTTACCAACAGCAGACATTTTAGGGTATAAAACAAAACAATCTGATGGAAAATATATCAACTCTCAATTGTTTTCTTGGTACAAAGGTCAACAAGCTCTTGAACTTGCAGAAAACATTTCAGGTGGAATTAAAAAAGTATACAATCTTCCTAAAAAATCAATGGTTGGTATATTTTTTCCTAACAGAGCTGAATGGATTATTGTTTCACAAGCATTGCATAGAATTGGATTAATTCCTATTCCATTATATGCTACTTTAGGAGTTCAATCAATTAATTATATTATTGATTTAACCGATATTGAACTTATTGTTGTTTCATCTGAAACTATTTCTAAATCCACTGAATTAAAATCTAAAACCCATCAACTCAAATACATTAATGTTGACTCGATGGTTCCATATTCTAATCCTATGAATTTAGACATTCGTTCTCTTGTTGATATTATATCAATTGGTAAATCAAATCCAACTCCAACAGACCTTCCTTCTGTTGATGATATTTATTCTATTTTCTTTACTAGTGGAACTTCAGGTAATCCTAAAGGAGTTGTTCATACTCATAAGTCTTTCCATTCTGCTGTTTACTGTTTTACTTCAATGAATATATTTGATAAAGACAATGTTGCATTAAATAGAACATCATATAGTTATTTACCTTTAGCTCATGTATTTGAACATGAAGTTACATATATTTTTGTTTATGGATATGGTAGAGTCGCTTTTATGTGTGGAGGACTTGGGTGTTTGCTTAGTGAAATTCAAGACTGTCAACCAGATCATCTTATTGCTGTTCCAAGAGTATTACAACGAATTAAAATGGCTATGGACGCATACATAGCATCATCTAATTTTGTATCTAGATTAATCACACCACCATCATATCTTCTTGGAAAGAAATTAAAATCAATTATCAATGGATCAGCACCAATTACAATGGAAATATATAATTATTTTAAAGAAAATTTACCAAATTGTCATGTTCTTCAAGGGTATGGATCAACTGAAACATTTGGTGGAGTGTGTTGTGGATGTCCTGGATTGAATGATCCAAAGATTCTTTCTATTGGAGTTCCTTTCTTACATACAACATTTAGAATTAGAAGTGTTCCAGATATGGGATATCTTACTTCTAATGATCCACCACAAGGAGAATTAGAAATAAAATCAGATAATTTATTTAAAGAATATTATAAGCAACCTGAAGTCACTGCAAATTCATTTACTGAAGATGGATTTTTTATTACTGGTGACATAGTTAAATTAAATGTTGATGGAACAATTAGTATTATTGACAGAAGATCTAATTTAATTAAATTGGCACAAGGAGAATTTGTTGCTGTAGAAAATGTAGAACAAGCAATGATTTCAAATAAAATTTCACAAGCATTTGTTCATGGAGTGTCTACTGATAATTTTGTTGTTGCTGTTGTAGTTCCAACAAAAGAAGCAAGTGACATGAAAGAACAAGAATTATTAGAATGGATCACAATGAGTCTTCATGAAAAAGGAATTCCATCATTTGCTATTCCACGAGCTCTTTATATTGAACACACTCCATTTAGTGAAGACAACGATTTATTAACTCCTTCAATGAAATTAAGAAGAGCAAATTTAAAGAAACATTATGCTGTTGAAATTGACAAAATGAGGACAAAAGTTAATGATATGAACTAACTAAAATATTTTTTTTAAAACATTCATTTAGTTAAACTGAGTATTTCAAATAAACCCTTTTAACAAATTCATTACTTGTGGTACAGTCACATTTTGGCATTGAATTAGTGTTGAATAAAATATTGATACCCATTGTTGTTTATCAGAAGGTAAAGTTGAAATGAATGATTTAATCATTTCTATTAAAACGGGATATTTTTGTATTAGTCCAACTAAAGACTTAAATCCTTCTACAATGCAAAAACTCATTCCATAATTCTTTGTTAGTTTTACTCTATTAATAATTTGAGTAAATAATTGTAACCAAATATTAATTCCAATACTTTTTCCAATTTCACCATTTGTCATTAAATAGATTTCAATAGATTTCATACAATATTTTTCTATCATTTTAGCTAATTCATCTGATCTTAACTTTTCAATAATAAACATAATATTCTTGATGAAAATAGTGTAATCAAATTCATTAAATACATGATACATTTGTGGTGGAAAAGTCATCAGAGAAAAGATTACTTTAGCAATATCCATTTTTTCTCTAAATAATTCACTTGTTTCATTTAATTGATCTGTTCCATCAAGACTATTCAAAAATCCTTGAAGAACAAATTTAAATTCATTTCCAAGAATTACTACATTTAATTTATTTTGTTTACTAAGTAAATGAGTCATTAATGTTCCTAATAATAATATATCATTAACACTTTCATTTAAATAATTAGACATTGCTTGTATTGATGGTATAACATGAAATTCCGGATTAATTGCTTCAATCCACATTTGAACAAAATCAACAACATACTTTTTAATATTCATTTTGTCACATTGAATTTCTCCTCTAATGATTCGTTCTACAATTGGACAATATTCATTATATAATGTAAATGACTCTCTTCTACTAGTAAACCCATTTTTCTTAAGAAATGCAGAAACATTCTTTAATCTGCTACCAATGTATTGTGTAGTAAATTGAATATCTCCATTATTTCCAAGTGAATTGCAGTGTTCAATTTCTGGGCCAAACACTTCTTTAATAACAACACTTAATCCACTATCAGTTAAGTCAGATAATATACTATACAAATCAACAGTTTCTATTACATTTCTTTTTATCCATATAGTTTCAGCAACATTTTTAACTATTTGTCCTACTTTAATACTCCATTCTTGTCGTGGATTCATTCCATTACTACGAGCTTCTCTGACAAGGTCTTTAATTTCTGAGAAACATTTTCCTTTTTCAACTACTCCGATAGAGTATTCGATAATTCCATATAAACAATCTCCTGAGATATATTTTAAAAATCTTGAGATTGCTGGATAAATTGGAGAATGTTCTGAAGCAATATCAACAAAACGAATAAATTGTTGTGAGAATGTTGTTACGTGTTGAGTCATAAATTGAACAGTCTCTGGTCGTGCCATTAATTTATCAGGAAAATGTAATATAAAATATGCATGACATGAAACACTTTCTACACTTGGGTTCTTTAAATTAAATGTCATTAATTGTTGTAAAAATTGTTGTAAGACTAAACAACTTTGATCTAAATCAGAAGAAGCACGATAAATAGTTTTTAAACAATTAAGTAAATCAGATCCATTATTACCATCATCATCGAATTCATTTTTAATGAACATTTGATATTTAGAATATAAGGCTTGTAGTAATATACTTTCTACTTCAACTAATGAATTTGGTATAATAAATTTATTTAATAAAGGAGCAAAGAAATCATTAATTGCCTTAGTAATTCCACTTGAAAATTCTTTAGCCATATCTAATGATGATCGTTGAAAGAGATTAACAAAGAAAATAAAATTACTTGAAAGCATTTCTTGGATTGTGTTAAATACTTCTGGTTGTATTTGAACCCTACCAGTTACTAAAGCCTTTACTGGAAATTTTCTTTCTGTAGCAGCTAATATTTCATTAATAATAACTCCAGAGAGTTTACAAACGGAAGTGAATGAGTCTTCATTAGAATTATTTGGAATTGGAATGAATTTAATAAGTTGTAATGAATGAATTAAAGACAATTTTACCATAGGATCCATTCCTTTAGAAATAATCTCAGAGAATATAAATATTGTTGGATTAAATAAGGCTGGAGAATTAAGATAACTGTATAACCTTTGTACAAACTCTGAATTGGTTGAAAACGAAATGTCAATCCAACTGACTAATGTCCCAAACAATTCTAATGAATCTTTTACTAAATGTTCATTAGTCATACAACGATAAAGGAAATCAACAATTTCCTTTACACCATTTTCTCTAAACGCATCTTTAACTTTGTTACTAAGATCAGTTAATTGAGAAAAAGCTTTAGATTTCTCAATTAACTCATCATTTATTTCTTTTAGTGTTAAGATAATAACTAGGCTTTGAAGTTCTGTTGTTACCTTATTTTTTAAATTAATAATGGTTATTGGCCATTCACTTGGAAGGAATTGATTATTACCAATCATTAAACTAATTGATGTATGAATGGCTTTCTTCATTGCCATACCAGCTGGTTGAGTTAAACACCAATCAAGAAGAGATATTGATAATTGTTTTCTTGTTATTCCATTAAAGTTTTGAACATTTTTTGTTGATGACTCAATAAGTTTTAGTGCAAAGTAAAGAATGGTTTGAGTTATCTGAGGTTGATTTGGGTGTGAATAATTACCTTGGATTATAGACATTCCAATATTAAATGCTTGTGGTTGTGTCTCTAATTGAACTAAATAACTTTCTGCTTCTTGTCT